GAGCAGTCAGTGCTCTTAATCTCTCAGCCATCTCTTCAGCCTGAGACTAGGTAACATTTTTTAAATTGAGCTATACATTTTTTCCCATTCCCCTTCCTTCCACCCCTTCTCCCCTTCCATCCTCTCCCCTGCTCCCCATGCTCCCCATTTACTCAGGAGGTCTTTTTTTCCCCCTTCCTAGGTCGATCCATTTATGTCTCTCTTAGGGATCTCTTTGTTACCTAGATTCTCTGGGGTTGTGGCCTGTAGGCTGGTTGTTCTTTGCTTTATGTCTAATATCCACTTAAGAGTGAGTGCATATTGTATTTGTCTTTCTGGGTCTGGGTTACCTTACTCAGGATGACTTTTTCTAGTTCCCTCCATATGTCTGCATATTTTAAGACGTCATTGTTTTTTTTTCCCCCTCCATTGTGTAAATGTACCACATTTTCTCTATCCATTCTTCGGTTGAGGGGCATCTAGGTTGTTTCCAGGTTCTGACTAATACGAATAATGCTGCTATGAACATAGTTATGATGAGAGCGAAGATGATCCCTAGTCTGTAAGGTTAAATACCAGCCAAACCAAGCCAGAGCGTGCCATGGGGCAGCTAGGCCAGAGAGAGGGCTCCCATGTGCTTGCAGCCCCTTAAAAAACCTAAACCTATCCCGAGTCATTCTGACCTCACCTTGACCACGCCCTGACAGGTGTGGTCAGGCACACCTGTAGCCAGCCCTTAGGAGGCGTGGTTACAGTGTCTCCCTGTACATAGTTGTGCAAATATCCTTGTGTTGTGAGTGTGCATCCTTTCAGCATATGCCCAAAAGTGGTATTGCTGGATCTTGAGGTAGACTGACTCCCAATCTTCTGAGAAACTGTCATGCTGATTTCCAAAGCGGTCGCACAAGTTTGCAGCAGAGGAATGTTACCCTTTTACTCCACTTCTCCAGCACAAGCTGTCATCAGTGTTTTTGATCTTGGTCATTCTGAAAGTTGTAAGATGGTATCTCACAGTTGTTTTGATTTGCATTTCTTTGATGACTAAGGATGTCGAACAATTCCTTAAGTGCCATTTGAGATTCCTCTGTTGAGAATTCTCTGTTTAGATCTATACCCTCTTATTTTTATTGGATTATTTGGTCTTTTGATATCTAGTTTCTTGAGTTCTTTGTGTGTTATGGAGATCTGCCCTCTGTCACATGTGGGGTTCGTAAAGATCTTCTCCCATTCTCTAGGCTGCCATGTTGTCTTGTCAACCTTGTACTTTGCTTTACAGAAGCTTCTCAGCTTCAGGAGGTCCCATTTGTTCATTGTTGCTCTCAGTGAGACTAAGGAACTTTTAAAGAACAAAGATTTATTCTACAGTTCAGGAGACTGGGGCCTCATCTGTCAAGGCCCTTTTTGCTGCATCGCAGCATGGTGAATGGCATCACATATGAGAGGAAGAGAGAGACAACTGGCAGCCTCCAGCCCTTCTACCATCTGTGTTAATCTGTTCACAAGAGTGGCATCCTCATGACCTAAGCATCCTGCCTACCACGGCCTCCCTCCCAACACTTTACATGGGGGATTAAGTTACAGACATGTCAGAACATGGTCAAAAAAAAAAAAAATGACACACGGTGAAAAGTGAGAGAGGCTTCAGAAAAAAAGGCAGAAGACCTCTTACCTCTAGTTCATTTTGCTCCCTGGATTATTCTTGGATGACATTTCATTAACCCTGAAACAAATATTTGCATTCAATTTATAAGGCATGCTTATTCTTGTTGGATGTCAGATCATAGCTATAGAACCCAATCTGGCCAGTGTAGCCTGAATCTGGATATGGCCTCTGCCTTGCTTTTATGCTTTCCCAGAAATAATCTATAGTACATTCCAGGCAACTGTGTTTAAATTGGTCTGTCCTGAGAAAGTTCTGGGAAAGGGATGCTTTGTTAATATTTCGTATGTGCTTACTAGTGTTTATTTACATGTTTTTCTGGTCAACTCAAACAATCTTCCTTGGATCATTACTTTCTTTGTTTCATTTCTGTATAAAAGTACAGTGAAGCTAAAGTAAACCTGTCAATAGCAGGAGACTGTAGTCCACCCCATTCTTTAAGGTCCTCTAATCCTGGGTCTTTTGGACACAGATCTGCATAGGTCAATGAAAGTCGGCACTAACACATGCTTTTGGGGAGACACACTAGAACATGACCATAGTAAAAACTGACTAGACTTCTTATTAATTACGAAAGTTTGGCCTTTAGCTTAGGTTTTGTCCCAACTAGCTCTTATAACTTAACCAATTTCTATTAATCTACATCCTACCAGGTGGCTTTTAACTCTCTTTCATTCTGTATGTCTGGCTCTCTCCATGTCTCACTGGTGTCTTTCCACCTCTCTTCTTCCCAGAGTTCCCCGGAAATCCTGCCTATTCTCTCCTGCACAGCTATTGGTTACTCAGGTCTTTATTAAACCAATCACAATGACACATCTATAGTATGGCTGCTCTTGGCCACTAAGTCCGAGTATTGGGCGAAAGCCTGGAGATTTGGATGATCCACAAGACTCCTGGTCCTTTTCTGAGAGAATGTCTCTCACCTTTATTGTGGAGCAGCCTTATATACAAACTTACAAAAACCCCAGGTCAAAGGGTTCACAACAGGATATTGATCCCAGTGGAGTGAGGTCAGGAAAGCAGGAGGTACCTGTGGTTATGCTGGAAAACAACTCTTAGAGACCCTATGGGGGCTGGATTCCAACACTATAGCATCCCACAATAGTTCATTTTTTTGCGTATTTTATTTTATTTTTTTCAACTTTTTTATTTGAATTAGAAACAGGATTGATTTACATGACAGTCCCAGTTCCCTTCTCCCACCTGTCCTCCCCTACCACCACCACCCCCAACTAAAACCCTACCTATCACATATCCTTTCTGTGCCCCCTGGATGTTAAGGCCTTCATAGGGTGTCACCAGAGTCTATTGTATCCTTTGGGATAGGGCCTAGGCCCACCCCTGTGTGTCTCGGCTCAGGGAGTATTCCTCTAGATGGAATGGGCTCCCAAAGTCCACACCTATGCTAGGGATAAGTACTGAACTTCTACAGGAGGTTCCGTAGATTTCCGTGGTTTCCTCACAAAAACCTATGTTCCTGGGGTCTGGATCAGTACCATGCTGATATTCCAGCTATCAGTCTGGTGAGCAAGAGTTCCCTGATGTTCAGGTCAGCTGTTTATTTAGAAGTACTTTATGTTCAATAAACATATGTGATGGGTACATAGTACTTTTACAGGGTATCAACTGTGAGTTGGTTGAAATCAATCTCTTATAACTCAGGATCTCTTCTGCCTCCGGGTCCACACAGGCTCTGGTCTCCTCCAATTTGTGCTTCTATGTTTGTCCACAGAAAGTGCCCCGACTGGCTGATGTGGCATAGCTGTATTTGCCATGGAAATCAGCTGTGCATTTCCAGGCCTTTGCCAGAATTTCTTCACTGAATGCTGGAGACAGTTTGGCGATAGCTCAGTGTGGCTTTGGCCAAGGGAAACAACACATACAGAGGAGACCAAAGTACCTCAGCTGCAGCTGCTGGTCCAGGTACCACTGCAAAGAGCCCAAATGTGCATAGAATGAACTAAGTGTGGAAGAATGCTAGCAAGGCTTAGAAGACATCTAGGAAAGGTCTGTGTTCCTGGCAGTGGAGGGGTAGTGCTGAACGCCATCTCCTTCTGACAGAGATCACTTAGAAGGCAGCAAGAAAACCCACAAAGTTACATGGCCTTGGAATGTACACTGCAACATTCTAAAACAGCCAGTGGCTTCCCAGACACTGTCCCCTTGCCTTTTCCACACAACCATAGCTTACACAAGTTTCAGTGTAAGTTGCTTTGGGGTCTCTCTGATGGACATTCATACCCCTTCTAGTTTAAGTCTTTCAAACTGTCTTCTTCAGCAAATGTCAAGGAATGCTCTGCATAGTAATCCCTCTGACCAGTGAATGAAGTCTTGCCTTTCTCATTGGCTCCTCCCAGCAATGACTGGTTTTCCCTCCCACCCGATGTATATGTACCATGTGACTTCCACTTTTTCCATGTTAATGAAGAACTTGAACTTTAATTTCACCTCTAGGAGCACAGCAAGGGCTCTGTTCACTCAGCCCCAGCCCCAGGTGTCTACCCCAGTCCCAGCCTCCTGCGATGGCTCAGCCATGCTGCTGCAACCATGCTCTGGGCTCCTGAATTCCTCCAAGAACATGTGCTCTCCCCAAGGCCCTGGACATAAAAGGAAATGAATTTCTCACTGTTCTCAATGGATGATAATTAAGAAAAGATGGTAACAGTGGAGAATTGGACCGCCTCAAGTTTATTCTGGTAACGTAGGAAACAACTTGAGCCAGTAACATTGGGCCTCTATTGAGTATGTTGCATGCATACTTGTTTTCCCCACAGCATGCCTGTCTCCTGTTTTGTTTGTTTGTTTGTTTGTTTGTTTTTTCTCTTCAAATAAGGAGTAAATTTTTACTGATCATGTCATCCTTCACTCTAAATTCTGCAACTACCTGGATGGGGAGTGAATTTAATGATGGAATGTCAACCCCTTCACTAGACTATTAAGTGTAATCAAGGCAGAGGTCAAGGTGGCATGTGTTATATGACCAATGCTTGACTCCATACTAAAACTACAGCAGCTATTTAATTGGGGATAGTAAGGACTGGGTCTCACTATGTAGCCCAGCTGACCTGGAACACACAATCTTCCTGCCTCAGCCCACCAAATGCCTGGATCACAGTTGTCCCCAAGCTCAGCTCGATGGTAAATATGTGAATGTAGAATAAATATATGCAATGGTATACACACAAAATAAATAAATAAATAAAAGGAAAACAGCAACCCGAACAACAAACTTGTAATAGGAGAGAACTGACACCTACAAGCTGTTCTCTGGCCTCCACATATGAGCTTGGGCATACGCACACCCCACCCCCCCACTTAAATAAATAAGTAGCAAAAAGTAACATCCACAAGTTACATAAAGTACAGTAATGTAGAACTGTTTATTGACACATAAAGGTGTCTATAATGATGATACATTTTTAAAAATCAAATTATAAAATAGTAGATACATTATGATCTCATTTTTATAAAAGAATAGCTATGTATACAGAGGCATACATTATAAGGTTAACAGTGCTAAGATAATAGGTAATAGTTTGTTACTCTCCGTTTTATCTGAAGTGTTTCCTTTTCTTCAGCAGAGTCTCACTATGTAGCCTAGCATGGCCTTGAGTTCAGGATTCTCCTGCCTTAGCTTCCCAACTGTGGGGATTACAAAGCCTGGCTCTGCATTGGTTTTCTTTTGTTAATTTTCTTTATGTAAAAATAATGGTGTGACTTTCCAAATAAACAGCATTTACTTAATTTATAAAATATTTAAATTTTTGGAAAAAATCAAGGATGCATTAAAATGACTTTTTTTCCCTCCTGTCACAAAACTTCAATTAAACAAGTATTTTTGTCATGATATATTCAATTAGATAATATTAGAAAAAAACAAACAAAAAAACCTAGACTTCAAAATGTTGAATTTGATTCTCTCCTCTTTCTTTCTTTCTTTCTTTCTTTCTTTCTTTCTTTCTTTCTTTCTTTCTTTCTTTCTTTCTTTCTCAGGGTCTCTTTATGCATCTGGCTATCCAGAAATTCACCATGTAGACCAGGCAGGTCTCAAATTCAGAGATTCACTTGTCTCTGCTTCTCGAGTGCTGGGAATTAGCCCAACCTTGAATTAGATTAATCCTGATGCTATCTGACTAAAGTGGATCTTTATCAAGATGTCACTAGTAGCGTTTCTGTATAAACTAATTTTATGTCCACAGTTTCTTGTTTGACCCTCTTTTTCTCACTCCTGCTGAGGGCCAGGAGAACAGAACAGATTCCAAGTCCCTTTCTTATGTTTAGCTGAAGATCAATAAAATTAAAAGGCAACAGATCTCTAAGCATAAAAAAAAGCCAACAGCTGCTGTATCTATGATATTTTATGTCACAAAGTGAGTTTGAAAAGTCAAGTATTTCCCAGCAAATTGCCAAAGCATAACCACAGCTCTAGAAGTCTATCCATTTAAAACATTTACCTGTAACAGCCTTACTGATTGTGAAACTATAGTTAAGACCAGATTATAATTTCCCCTTTAAATAATGCTAGTTTCAGCTATAATACATTTATAGATAATACTTAACACATAAGGCAAGAGTATACACCTTATCATCTACAAAGATAAGCAGAATTGCACTTATTTTGTGGAACAGTTACCATGATTATAGGGAAATGGAAAACATTGGTATATAAATTCCTTTCCCCAATGAAATAGAATTTAAAAGTTTCACTAAAAAAGTTAGTTAAAAAATTAAAAAAAGGAAGATGGCAAATACCACGTGTATATTGGCTCTTGCCTTTTAGTAACAATTTTTTTGTTGTTGTTGCCTGTTTCAACTAACACGATCTCAGCACCATATTGAGAAGTCACCCTGTGACCTACACAGTGTGATACCCCAGGGCAATCATCACACCATCGTTCATTTTCAGCCAAGAGCCTACCATGCCAGTGGTAAATACTGTGCTTTAGACCTCAAGCGGGAACTCAATCATTTCTAACGCAAGTGTAACAAGAACACGTGCTGGCACAGCCAGGCCTCACGCACTCTTTGGAAACGCAAAAGGTTCAAGGATGCCTTTTTTAACATTATTTCAGATCGAGCAGCATAAATGCTGGGTTTTCCAGGTAGGATTTCCACAGGTTAGAGAAGCGTGACATTGTGGCTCCGTCAATGACCCTGTGATCGGCTGACCAGCTCACATTCATTATCTGTGCTTTAAAAACGTCTCCTTTCTGGTCAAATCGGGGAAGGGCCTAGAAGCAATGGGAAAAAAACAAAAAATAAACAAGGGTAAACTCGCCGTCACTCATAGTGGAAGATCTGGCAACAAGGGTATAAGATCCAGAAACCACTCCTCCATGCCAGTGAGTGGGTATCCCATGGTATAAGGATCAGAAACCCCTCGTCCCTGCCAGTGAGTGGGCATCCACCAGGGCTTCGGAAAATGCTGCCTCCCAATTCCCGGCTCTTGGGAGATCGTGTCTGAAGCTTTCACTTCTTCAAGGCCTGGCAAGATGGCTCAACAAATAAAGGTGTTTGCCGCCAAGCCCTGCCACCTGAATTTGAACCTGAGAACCCACCCCTTATACTTAAGGAGAGAACTGATTCTTGAAGCTGTCCTCTGACCTGTACATAAGTGCTATGGTGTGAGTGTGTGTGTGTAGCCCCTGTGTATGTGTGAAACACGTGCATGTACACACACACACACACACACACACACACACACACACAGAGAGAGAGAGAGAGAGAGAGAGAGAGAGAGAGAGAGAGAGAGAGAGAACCTATTCTAAAAATTCTAAAGCATGGCCACAAATCCTGTTTTTGGAGTCACCTAGATTCTTGTTCAAAATACAATTGCCTTCAAGCCCAAGAAATCATCATTTTGTCAGGTGTGGTGGCACACACCTGTAATCCCAGTAGGGCAGGAGGAGCCAGAATTTGAGCCAGCTGGGCCTATACAGTGGCCTCTGATCTAATTCAAGAAGGGAAGAAATAGGTGTACTGGGGCTGGAGAGGTGGCTCAGTGATTGAGAGTACTGACAATTCTTCCAGAGGACCTGAGTTCAATTATCAACGCCCACATGGCATATCACGACTGTCTGTAACTAGTTCCAGGGACCTAGCACCCATGGCAAAAACATCAATGCACATTTAAAGAAAAGAAAGAGAGAGAGCTAGAGAGAAGATAGGCAAACAGCCAAACTCCACAAACTCAAAACTAGAAAGCAAAGGAAAATATTCAGTGCTGAGTCTTCTTTGTGTTCAGTTTTCCAGCTTGCTGAAATTGTCTTGCAGTTACTCTCTATACATACCGTAATTGCTCCCAAGGCCCCGATGGCCACTTCAGGTGGCAATATCACTGGCTTGGCATAGGTTCCACCAATCTGAGAAGAATGGGAAAATTTAGCCTTCAGGGAAATCCTGATAGACGATAGGTTGTATTTTTTTGAGCATATGATCAGAGATGCATGTTACACATGAATTTGAACACCACGACTTACTGATCCAATGTTGGAAAGAGTAAATGTCCCTCCAGTAAGATCGGTGGTACTGAGCTGACCAGAAGAACCCAGTTTCTGGAGGCGGTTCAGTTCCATGGCGATCTCAAACACAGAGCGAACCTGAACATTCTTCACGTTGGGGACAATTAACCCCAGCTCAGTATCCATTGCTATCCCAATGTTGTGAGAAGCCTAAGAAATAAAAATTACCCAGTAGAACAAAGATACTAAACCATTTCATCAAGCTAGGCATATGGTACACTGTAATGCCAATATCCAGGAAGATTGGATGAGGAAGACTGATGGTTTGAAGCCAGATTGTGCCATATGGCAAGATCATATCTCTAAAAGCCAAAAGGCCAAAAGACAAAACAGTCACCATTTTGACTAGAGCAGAAGTCATTTGGAAGAAACAGTTTGGGTGGATAACACGGCATTATGGGTAAAAGCACTTATATGCTGTTAATCTGAGTTCAAACTCCTGAACCCACATAGTGAAAGGAGAGACAAACTCTTGCAAGTTGTCCTCTGACCTCCACTCACATACAGTGGCACCAGTTTCCTCCCCACAATAAAATAAATGTAAATTTTTAAAAACAATAATTTAACCAAGCTTAAAAGATTGTTTTAGAAACAATAATGTCTTTTTAAATTTTAAAGTGACATTTGTTTACATGTATGTGTGTGTGTGTGTGTGTGTGTGTGTGTGTGTGTGTGTAGTGTCTTTTTAAATTTTAAAGTGACATTTGTTTACGTGTATGTGTGTGTGTGTGTGTGTGTGTGTGTGTGTTTATGTGTGTGTGTGTGCATAAAAACACCATAAAATGCATGCAGAGGTCAGAGAACTACTTGTAGGAGTCAGTTCTCTCCTTCCATCATGAAGACACGTACAATATTTAAAAAAAAAAAAAAACTGTGCTAAGGAAATAAATTCAAAAGAACAAAGGAACTAACTAGGGGCAGCACCAGATAGTTCTACAACAATTAAAATATTTGCCAGTAAGTCACTGATTGAATAAATGACAATATCACTCTATTGATGTGTGATGATATCCACAATATAGTAAATAAAAAAGAGAAAAGCAAATTAAAGAAAAATTTGTATTACTTAAATGAATTCATGGAAGAATATTGTATGAACAGGGAGTATCTGAGCCACAGGATTGAGGTCGATTATTTTCTCTAAATTTTTAAAATAAGCTATATTAGGAAAGACTGAGATAAAAAGAAACAGTTCACTGTTATTAGGCACACTGCAATAGCTTTGATGAGACTGCCTGCATTACCTAAGCTTACCTTCAGTTTTTGTGTTTTGGTGATGTTGGGTAAGAACTCTGCCGCTGAGCCACCTTCCTGCAGCCCCTAAGCTTACTGCTAGCTGAGTATTGCTAATGAGGAAGGAATCTAAGAATCAGCATTGCAAGACTTCTGTTTTAAGAAACTTGCACTCCAAACAGAAGACTTCACTCAAACTGAATTCAAATGTATTACTTAAAGAAATTATTATTAATTACTCTCTTTTGGGCTGGAGAGATGGCTTAGTGGTTAAGAGCCCTTGCTGCTCTTCCAGAGGACCCCAATTAACTTCCTAACACCCACATCAGGAGGCTCACAACAGACTGTAACTCCAGATCCAAGTGATCCAATGCCTCTGGCCTCTGTAAGCACCGGCACCTTATGGGCACATACCCACATGCAGAAATATACTCCTACCTATACATACTTAAAAAAAAATTGCTCTTGTGGTGGTTTCAAAGAAAATGGCCCCCAAGAGGAGTGGTAGTAATTAGGAGGTGTGGCCTTGTTAGGTTGGTGTACTCTTTTTGGAGGAAAAGTGCCACTGTGGAGGCTGGCTTTGAGGTCTCATATACCACCCAGTATAACAGACCACTTCCTGTTGCTTGTTGAGTCAAGATATAGAACTCTCTAGCATCATGTCTACCTATACGACACCAAACTTCCAGCCACCATGCTCCCTGCCATGACGATAATAGGCTAAACCTCTGAAAATAAAAGCTGCCACCTCAACTAAACATTTTCCTTTATAAGAGTTACCATGGTCATGGTGTCTCTTCACAGCAATGGAAACCCTAACTAAGATAGCTCTCTTCCTTAAAATTCCAGAAATTTAATCATGAGAGAGGTGATTATTTTGCGATGCTAAATAGAGTGAGTAGCACAATCCACACTTCACATTTGCATAGTTCCATTATTTTAAATGAAAATCAACAGGACGTTAAAAGGCTGCACACCAGAACAAAATCGTTAAACAGTGACAACAAAGCTAATAGATTGCATTTAAATTTAATGGCTTATGCTATACTTTTCATTCCTGCCTGAACAAGGGTCATTGTTTGAGTATCCTAGAGGCTTCTAACCTACAAGCACATGTACACCATCTTCTATTATAGAGAGGATTTTCACAATGCATGGCTGACCTTGTAGGTGATGTTCTGGCAGTTTTCATCCACAGAGGCATTGAGGATTGGAAACTGGAGCAATCCCAAAGAAGCAGCCTGTTGAAGAGAAAAATAAGGCAGCATGAGCACTTTTGCCTCACACAGCCACAGAACTAGAAGCAATAGGAGGTAGAAAATGAAAGGGGAAGAGAACCCTTAATCTAAACTGAGTGTAACGTCAGGGCCACACATACCTGGGTAAATCACTTCCACTCTTATCTCCAATGAAGGTGAAACTAGGTTGCCCTAATCATTTAAAAACAAATGATAAAGTGGTCAGGTCTCTTGCAAACATAAAGGGATTTATCAAAATAACCACACAGGCTGCCAAAGTACCAAAGAAAATATCTCAATTACAAGTGATTTCCTCACTAACATGTAGCTTTAGATGTTTATGAGAAGCAAGCCAATAGTTTAAAAATAGTCTAGGAATTTCAACAACAACAACAACAACAAAAAAGGCAGGTAGACCTTTTCTCCATGTAGGAAGAATACACAATAACGATTGCAAAGTGACCATTAGAGGCCAGTGTGCCACAGGTGTCCTTGGCCTAGTCAAGGGCAGAGCTGGCTCAAATATGTACTGGAGCTCACCCTGCTGGTGCAAATCCCTGTTTGTCCCCTTCGATCTTTCCCCTGCTTTTCTTTATACTTCCTTTCTCTTTATATCATTTCTCTCCTGCCCATATGCTGGGCAGGTTTCTGGAGTCTATATCTGCACTGATTTGATACTTGAGTTGCACGCATATTTCAAAAAGAAGGTCAGGTGAGATGGCTCATGCCTATAATACCAGCACTGGGAAGGCTGGGGCAGGAAGGACTGAGTTCCAGGCCAGCCTGGGCTAGCTAGTGAAACTCTGTCTCAAAACCAACAAATAAAACAAAATGGGAGGTGGGGAATAACTAGTGGGTATTTCAGGTAAAATTGTGTAATCCAGTAACTCTGTGTGTAGCTCAATGTGACTGAAACAGGGAGTGGCTTTGAGGAAACTGGAGGGGTAGCTAGCAGAAACTTGTATGTCACACTAAGGACTTAGGATACCATCCTAACAGCACTGAATGGAAAGTATTGAAAATAATCCGGAAATGATACAACTTGATTGAAAGAATGATTTGTCTTGGTAGACTGTGAAGAAAGGGCAAGCAGAGCCATGCTGAATGAGAGGCCAGACCAGACCAGACCAGACCAGACCAGACCAGACCAGACCAGACCAGACCAGACCAGACCAGACCAGACCAGACCAGACCAGACCAGACCAGACCAGACCAGACCAGACCAGACCAGACCAGACCAGACCAGACCAGACCAGACCAGACCAGACCAGACCAGACCAGACCAGACCAGACCAGACATGTGGCTTTTCCATTTGTTAGTTAGGGCGGTGACAAGATTCTCAACCTCTCGGAGGCCTCTTTGGAGGAAAGTGGGGACAGTAATATCTACATGTCTGGGATACTCTGAGAATTAAGGGGTAACTGTAGCATGCTTTCCTAAGCCTAGCACAGTAGGTACTTTGCAGTGCCATTAGTGAGACTCACACTGCCAGTTGCTCAGGGTCAGCTACTGGTTCCAAGGCCCAGCGCTGAAAATGGTTCTCAGAGGCCCCCTGTGAGAATGTGCTGTGCGAAGCCTCCTTTTAGCTCAAGCCAGAACTTTCCTATGACCCTTACAGAGTGAAAGGCTTGCCCTACTGTCAGCACAATTCTCTTCCTAGTTTAAAGCAGGGAGATGGCTCTGTGGTTAAGAGGATGTGCTACTCTTGCAGGCTCCTAGGACTCAAGCTGATGGCTCACAACTGCCTGGTAACTCTCATTCCAGGAGATCTGACTGACACCCTCTTTTGTGCTCTGTGGGCACTTGCATGAACACACACACACACACACTTAAAAAACAAATAGCCACATATTGTGGTGTATGCCTTTAAATCCAGCATTTGGGAGGCAGAGGCAGACTGATCTGTGAGTTTGAAAGCAGCCTTGCCTACATAGTAAGTTCCAGGCAAGCCAGGGCTCCTTAGTGAAACCTTGCCTCATCCATCCATCCATCCATCCATCCATCCATCCATCCATCCATCCATCCATCCATCCATCCATCCATCCATCCATCCATCCATCCATCCATCCATCCATCCATCCATCCATCCATCCATCCATCCATCCATCCATCCATCCATCCATCCATCCATCCATCCATCCATCCATCCATCCATCCATCCATCCATCTTAGGCTATCGAGATGGTTCAATGAGGCACTTTCCTCCGAGCCTGACAATCTCAGTTCAATCTCTGGGACTTACAATGTAGAAGGAGGAAAAAGACTCCTTCAAGTTGTCCTCTTGAGTCCACTTGAACACACAAGCACACAAACATACAGTCATGCACGCGCGCACGCGCGCGCACCCACACACACACACACACACACACACACACACACACACACACACACACAACATATAATAAATGTAACTTAAACATAAAGCAAAAATAATCTTTTAAAAAGAAGTTAAGAGCTGGGCAGTGGTGATGCACACCTTTAATCCCAGCACTGGTGGGGGACGGAGGGGGGCAGGCAGATCTCTGTGAGTTCAAGACCAGCCTGGTCTACAGAACGAGTGCCAGGATAGGCTCCAAAGCTACACAGAGAAACCCTGTCTTGAAAAACCAAGAAAAAAAAAAAGGAGCTAAGAAGATTAAGAAGATAAAAACATAACACAGATTTCAATTGTTAAATTCTTATGAAACAAAGAGATGGTGGGTTTGAACTTATTTTTTCTAATTCTGACGATATGGTATAAAGTAGTCTTTTCTTTTTTAAGATTTATTTATTATGTAACAGTATTCTGCATGTATGTATCCCTGCAGGCCAGAAGAGAGCACCAGATCTCATTACAGATGGTTGTGCAAGCCCACATAGTAGCTGGGAATTGAACTCAGAACCTCTGGAAGAGCAGCCAGTACCCTTAATCTCTGAGCTATCTCTCCAGCTCATGAAGTAGTATTTTAATGAAAACCTGTTAACCTACTATGTCTTTACAAAACAAGTGTCAATGTCCTCTGGGGCCTCGTTTGGAATGAGTGAAACTCACCTTTAAGAAGAAGGGCATGAAGGAGAGTTTGATTCCTCGAGCCAAAGCAACAGGTTTCAATTCTTCCCGAAGCTTAACCAGTTCAGTAAGGTTCACCTCGTCACAATAGCCGAAGTGGGGAATCTTCAGGGCTGCAGACATGGTCTTGACCATTGCTTTTTGGAAACCTAGAAGAAACTCCATCCTTTTATATAAATCCAATAATACATTATTCTTCAATACAAATTAGACAAACTATGGATTGCATCATTATATTCATGATGAGTTTGAACTTTTCTGTTAGTAAGGATAGAAAGCTGGGCAGCGGTGGTGCACTTGGGAGGCAGATGAAGGGACACTAGCCCACTAGAATATGGCTCTGGCAGGTCTCGCCCTTCTCCCCAATTCCAAAAACCATTAGATTACATTTCTAAAGCTAGCCACCAAGCTCTATTTCCTTATTTGTCCACTTCCTCCTCCTGAGGCTGACTACCCAGGTCCACCAATCAAAAGCCACCTTTGGCTCACCTAATTAACATGCCCAATCAAGATATACCAACGAATCCTAGAACATTCTAACATAGAATGTTCCCTCTTTTCTCCCTCTCCCTCTTTTCCTCTTAAAAATTACCCCTGCAGGGTCATTTGCTGCTGTTTTCTGTCTGAGTCAGAAAGCAGCCACTTTTCTTCCATGCTCAATAAAGGATCTCTTTGTGAAATCAGGAGTTTGGGTGTGAACTGTGCCTGATCCACATTCTGGGAGGGAACCTCTGCAGAGCCTCCTTCAGCAGAGGGAGGCTGATCTCTGTGAGTCTGAAGCCAGCCTGGTCTACCTATTTAGGTCCAGGGCTACATAGTGAGACACTGGCTCAAAAAATAATCGAAAACATCTGATACAATGAACACACACCTCCTGAGGTGGATTCCCTGAAACAAATCAGCACGGTTTCATGTTACTGCTGTTACCATACCTGTTATGGGCTCTGTCCTGTCTTTGCCTGTGAATACTGGAGGCTTTGATATTGGCGTGGGAAAGGTTCTGTCTTTGGGTTGTGGTGGAGGTGGTGTTATTTCAGCTTTTGGTGAGGGAGGCAATATTGCTCCTGTTTGCCTTTCCAAAAAGTTGAGAATATCTTCTTTAAGTATTCTGCCATCTTTTCCAGAGCCAACAACTTCACTCAGCTTAATCTAAAATATAACACATTTTAGTGCTAAAAAATAAATCTATCATCAAAACTTAAAAATGGAGCATAATCAATTAAAGGTTAAAAACTTTTGTCCAAGAACTTAGTTTGAGGAAGCAACATTTTCATTATTTTGAAAAATAAGCTTCAGGATCTCTGTGTAAGTGGTTGTTACTTTTATGTATACTGTTGTCCATTTGCCCATTTAAAGCTCTAACTCTCTCCTACAATCCATCTATCCTTCCTTCCTGCCCCACCCTCTAGGGTCTCTCTGTATAGTTTTGGCTGGTCTGAACTATAGATAGATCAGACTGGCCTTGAACTGAAGGGACCAGATCCCCATTTCGGCAGCCATAACAACCTAACACGTGTTTGCCTGACCTTGCCTTGGTCACTAGGAGTTCAGATGCCTGACTTGTGGCAAGGAACCAATCAGAAGTTAGCTGGTAGTGCTATGCTTTACTGCTCTGGGTGTGCTTTACAGACAAGTGCACAGCAGTGATGTGCAGAGCATAGCAACCGCCCTGGGAGGGCCTATGGGCCATAACAACCAGTTGACCAATCAACACAGGGCAAGTCCTCCAAGCCTGGAGGCACACCAATCCTGAGCCTGTGCGTACCCCTAGACACTCCCCTTACATTGCCCAATAAGATCTTGGTCCGTGGCTTCTCCGAGTCTTTTCTCAGCCATCAGCCATGGTGGGTGGATGAAAGGCCCAAGCTAACATGGAGTTAGCTTGTTAAACAACTGCAATAAAACCTCTTGTTGTTTGCATCAAGCTTTTGCCTCCGCCTGGTGGCTCTTTCCCCCTGTTCCTGCTCTCTGTCCCCTCTCTCTGTTTCCCCGCTCTGTCAGAGAGGCATGTCCAGCTTGATGCCCACATGGCTTCGTGTGCTGTGGGTCATTTTTGACTATGATAGGGTTCTTAGTGGAATTCTGGTGTGGGTGGGACCATGAAGGGTTAACTTTTTGTAAAACTATGGCACCTTTTCAGTCCACACTCTCTGGGTTTGAGGTCCTGTATCCTTTGTCAGTTTGTTCTCTTATCCTTAGGACTTCCTGGGGTCCTCCTATTCACCCCTCCAAAAATTACTGTCAGCAGTGTAAGAGAGGAGTGCTTCAGGAAAGAGCAATCGGCCTGGAACAGGCTTGGGTGCCACATTGCCATCTGGGACCTGCTTCTTACAGGTGATTGTTGAATGTATGGAAACTCCTTAGCCTCTTGTTTTAGTTTAAGAATAAAAGAAAAAAATACTTGTTCAAATGAGATAGATTTGTTAGACTATTAACTACCACTCAACTGTAAGTTTATAATCGCTGTCACTTTAATAAAGCATGGCAAATACTTTTCTGTGTGTGTCCCAGTTTTTCTCATTGGGTAGTAGTTGCTTAGAGTGCTGTGCCAAAGACTCTAAGTTTATCTCATGAGGCAGAATTGCTGAGATTGATTAGTTATGTCTGCCACTGTCACAGGGAGAGTAGAAGATGTAAGCCAGTGTAAAGTGTTGGAATTTCTAGTTCATTTGCTTTTAGCAGAGATAGAGAACATGAAAGAAGATAAATCACTAACAAGAAAACTTGAGGTATCAGCATATGTATAAAGCTTTGCTTGGAGAAAGCAAGCCCCATGATGTCCGCAGTCCATTATGTATGTGGTTCTTACTCTGTGTATGGAAGACAGTGCTGGAATTATTCCCCAAGGCACTTTCCCTGTGGTCCTGGTCAGGGAGCTACTAACCCAGACCACCATTTCTTCTTCTCTTCCATTTGCTTTTCTTTTCTACACTTTGACATTTGATAAATTCAGCCCTTGGCTATTCACTGTCCTCTGTGTATCTAGATGCCAGAGCTTTTCCTTAATTTTTGGTGTTGGTTGAAACCAGGGCCTTGAATAGGCAAAGCATGTGCCCTTCCCTTGAGCCACAACCCGAGCCCCTGTGTCTGTTGGAACTTGACATGTACAGATCTCTAGCTGTGCAGATATTTTACCTGAATATCCAGTCATCTATGGAACTAAACAGAGGAAAGGATTCTGTCTCCTTGGCTCCTCATCTAATATAGGACATAATATGATTTTCTAAGCAAACTTCAAATTGATTATATATTTTTTTTCATTTTAAAATTGAAGTATTTGAACATAGGTTGAGGAAGACAGATCACCCAAGACTCTAAGAAATTGACCTGGTCTACATAATGAGTTCCAGGTCAGCCAGCTCCACATTCAGAGAATAAAACAAACAAGAACACCAACAAAACATCTTTAAGGACCCAGAGAAGTAATTATAACCTAACATAAAAGGAAAAACTAAAGTTAGAGGTGATGGTGCAAGCCTGTAAATAGAGGCAGGAGAATAAACAAGTTCATCATTCTTAGCTACATAATGAGTTTAAAGCTATGTGAAGTTCTATTTCATAAAACAAAACAAAGAAAGCCAAGATCATGCAATTATGTTGAAAGTGTTGTCTGTATCATTTAAAATACATCTAAGTATTTATATAGAAATAAACACTGACAAGAAAGGCAGTAAATGATAATAGTAATTATTACTTCTAGAACTAATGTTATGACTGGTAGGTAATTATTATTCATGGAGGGCAAATTTTGAAAGGCATCTTTCTGCTTTTGGTGGTGGTATTATTGCCTGTAAGTAGCTAAGTTTCCCTTTCACTGCCACACACACACACACACACACACACACACACACAAAACACATATACAAACACATACAATACCCGAAACATATACATATACAAATGCATACACACACACACTGAGACCTTCATGCCGTTGTTTGTAACTTGGGATTAGCATTGAAGGTTTGAAAATCGATGGTCAACAGATGCAGAGACCCACAGCCAAATATTAGGTGGAGAAAGCCCAAATTGGAGGTCTTTATTTCATCCCTTCCCTTGGAGCTTGGGGAACCCTGTGGGAGAGAGGAGGAAGAATTGTGGGAGAACACAGCCTACAGAATCAACTAAGCAGGGTTCATAGTGGCTCACAGAGACTTCAGTGACAATCATGGACCCTGAGTGGGTCTGATATAGGTCCTTTGCATATGTTATAGTTGTTAGCCTGATGTTTTTATGCAATTCCCATCAGTGGGAGTGGGAGTGTCTCTGACTCTTTTACCTGCTCTTGGGACCCTTTTCCTCCTACTGGGTTGCCTCACCTAACCTTGATAAGAGGGTTTATGCCTCAGGTCTTATTGTATCTTGTTATGATGTGTTTGGTTACTATCCCAGGGAAGCCTGCTCTTTTCTGAAGGGAAACAGAAGAAGCGTGTTTCTGGGTGGAGTGGAGGGAGGGGAAACTGTGGTTGGGATATATTATATGAGAGAAGAATAAATTAAAAAAATACAAATACCAACAAAAAATATGAATGTGAAAGAAAAGATACAGAGAAGCCAGACATGGAAACACAGGCCTATAATCTTAGTATTTAGGAGCAGCCATGCTGGGCTACAATAGCAAGTTCCAGATGAGGCTGGGATATGTAGCATCTACTTAAAACTTCCCTCCCTAAAAAGGGGTAGGGAAGTAGATCAGTTTGTCCATGAGCATGCAAGGCATAGAGTATGCCCTTGAATAGTTCCTCATGGGCAGGAGGAACTCTAGTAATATTTCTTTAAGTCAATTATACACGTGCATGATACAAATTTCTGTTTTTTCCCCATGAGACAACTACTTTTCTCAGAAATTCTACTCATTGCTGGCCAGAGTGGGAAGGACTCAGGCTGTGTAAGCAGAACTCTCCTCAATTGCCCAGTTCTGTTATTTCCTTGGGGGTTTAGACACATTAACAACCCTCTCTGTCCTTTCTATAACCAACCACCCTGAAGGGATAATGCATACAGTGTCTGGCATACACATGCTTAAAATAATGAATGTGATGACTGTTGAGGCAACAAATGAATGACAAATGAGACGAAAGTCCCTCTATGGAACTCTGGCTCCTGTGCACTGTCAGCTGCGGAACGCCCTGGCCACTTTCCCACTGTAGATCTCACAGTAGTTCCTTCTCTGGAAGGTTAACTGGGACACGAAGTACTTATTGGTGTCAAGGAGCCATGCTGCCTGGCATTTTACCTGCCACATAGTCACAGAATAGGCTATGGTTTGGATCTGGAATGTCCCCAAAGTCTGTGTTCAAGGCTTGTGCCCAGCAGGATATGGTGATGAATGCTTATAGTTCCAGTACTCTGAATACTGAGGTAGGAGAATAGAGATTATGTGGATAGCCTGGGCCAGTGATTTTGAGGCCAACCTGGACCACGTAGTGAGATCCTATCTGTAAAACAATATGCAAACATGCATAAAAACAAAAAATAAATAAAATGAAAGGTGGTTCTAATTTGGTGGCGCTAAGGTGTGGTAGAAACTTTGACTTGGGGTCTATTGGGAGATTTCCCAGTTACTACTGGTATGTCATCAAAGGAGATTTCGACATGACCTTTTCAATTCCCGCCTATGAGGAGAATGACTTGCTCTGCTGTGCACTCCACTCATACCGTGATGGACTACACCACCACACACCTAGGACACAGGGGCCAAACTCAACATCTTCTTTATTATTATTTGGTTTGTTTCAGGTATCTTGTAGTCATGCCAAGTTAACTAACACATATCTCCTTGTCTCAGCACAGTGTAGTTTGGCAGATTTTTGTTACCACACCCACGACTATTCCATCGTTAGTCTCTTCCCTTTGCCAGCCTTTCATTCCCTTTACTGATTTTTGGTTCTTAAAGAAAGTCACAGGCACTTGGATTCTTAAGTTGTGCTTCTAGTTCACCTCATCTAAAATACTGGTATGTATGTGTTTGCTTGTTTGACGTGCTTGTGTGTGTGCTCATGTGAGGATGGGTACACACATACATAAGCCTGTGCATCTGAAGGCCAGAGGTCAACCTCTGGTGTCATTTCTCAGGATCTAAACCTGAAACTTGCCAATTTAGAGCAGTCTGGCAGCCAGTGAGTCCCAGGGATTCTCTACCTCTCCATCCTGAATGCTAGGATTACATGTG